TTCGACAGGATGAGGTTGTGCCAGGAAGTAAAATACCAACTACGACTAGTGAGCAATCCCAACATCTACTAAACCCAGCATGGGCTTTCTTTTTGGTCCGACTGTACAAGCCTCACAGGGGTTTAATAAGCTATACAAGGCCTCCAGCAGCAGACGGCCCCTCACTCTGTTTGTGTTCCAGGCAGGGGAGTCGCTCTGCATGACGATTTATTGACGCAAGATCCCCCTCAGCCAGGACCTGCCACCGATTACTGCCGGTGGAGAGTGGAGGGGAGGGAGGGGAGGGTCTTGCTGGGATGAGAGAGTTTGTCTGTGTGTGTGTTCTAGCTCTGGCTCCAAGGCCATAAACCCAGTTCCAAAATGCCAAGTAGCATGTCTACATGCCAGCCTTTGCCACCCAAGTTTAAAATCAGACAAAAGGGCCTTCAGTGCTCTAAAATGGTGGTTTGAGAATGGGAAATGATGATCTGTCATATATGGAAAATGGCTTAGCAGTACTGCACAGACAGGAGGGCGACAAGGGGAGAATGAACTGCTAACAGGAGGTTAAGTTGAGGAGTGAAAGCTTCATTCTTAATTTCAGAGCTCCTTCAAGGTGAAGAAAAGTCTGGCAGATGAAATATTTTGGCTTAATATGAAATGTCTACAGAAATGTCTACAGCTTCACCTATTTTTAGTGCCATTTGGGAACAGTTGTGTATGGAAAATTTGGCTGCATTATGAATCATAGGAAATCATTTTTCCAAATGTGGTATTATGTTTATCCATCAACTGACATGTTGTGAGCGAGTAAGAAAGGCCGTGGATTTAGTTTGGGATCATTTCAATTGCTCCAAAGGGGGATTCTTGGCCATGGAAGGACAAGCAAGTCAGATGATGCCTGTGAAATAACCAGCATACCTCAAAAACTGACAACAGTAAAATCGTACTCCTACATCTTTAAGTTATTTTAGAAACTTTCAAAGAGTTGAAAGAAAAAAAACTTGTGGAAACGGAATAGGCAGAGCATGGAAATGGAAAATAAAAAAAGGAAATAATGCCCAACTCCAATGTTCCACTTATATAACACAATGAAATAGAAAAAGAGGAAGAAAAACAATCAGATACCTTTGGCTTGTGCCAGTATGTGCCACTATCTGGATGTCCTGCAACAACTGACGCAAACCATTTTGGCTGGAACAACACTATGTCTCTACTCGCAGCTCAAGAGGAAAGAGGATGATGCCAGCAACCCACGATGAGCTACTCAGGACCAAGGCACCACAACAATTAATCAATGGCTGTGAAATCATAGCGCTGAATACGACAAAGACAGCCAAAGCATGATGGGTAATGGGGGACACAATTGGCCTTTTGTCCATTTTGGTTTGCAGTTGAGAAAGAGGAAAAGCCAGATCTGTACCATGGATATGATTTAGGAAAAGAGGGTTTTTGAGTAGACCACATGGGTAGCCCCAACTGGTTGAGGTCAAGCACACAAGGGAAACCTACTGTGAAATATAATTCATGACCCGTAAACACGCAGGATGAGAATCATGCATGTGGAGAGTTGCTCAATAGACATTTTCTAGACATTCCTGAATTTTCTATGGACCAAACGCTTCCAAATAAATCATTCAAAAGAGAATGGCTGAATCTGGATCCACTGTTTGTATCATTCACTGTCCTTCTGCACCCATGGGTCTGAGAGATTAAAAATAAAATTAAATAAAACACAAATGCCATATGTGCACATAACTGAGGAAACGTGAATTTGTGGACCACAGCCTTCCCATGCATTCATCAACGCTGCAAACATCAAACAACAGCTTTTACTCCCACATGGCCAAGAGACGCAGGAAAAAAACAACACATTTAACTGAAAGAATCACAAAGATACCAAGATATGTTACCAATAACCTCTAGATGAACCAGTAACTACATCCGTAACTGTAAGCAGAGATACTATGCATCTCCCCCAGGAAGCCAATACGATGCAAGAGTGTCATTAAGCGGGTTATTGCTGCCTTCATAAAAGCTAAGACAAAATGTGGATTGTTTAATGGAGAACTATTGTACAGAAGGTTGACGTATACAAACAAAGCAGCAAAATAAAGACGCGCAGACATCAGGTAATATGCAACATCTATTTGTTAAAAGTTGGATGTATATTCTGTATTATAGCGCTGTTCAATTATGGCTTTGCAACAAAAACAATAGAAAATGGTTACGTGAATCTTTCCACAAACAGCACATTCCTTTGCTCAACATCAGACTTTGCAAAACCTAAGTGCTTCCATATCCGTCAGAACACATTACTACTTATTCAGTGTTTGTTGTTGGTGTTGTTTGCTATCATGTCCGTTACCTGACTCAAGACTGTGTGGCAACCAAGTCCATGTATCCATGTCACAAGGTACATTAGTATTACAGAGAGCTACGTAACTAGGGCTGAACAATTTTGGAAAATAATCTAATAGCAGTTTTTTGTTTTTTTTTTACAAATATTGTGATTGCAATTTAATAAGCAATTAATTTTTAAGCTCTTTACCTCCTGTAGTGTAGTATGACCAACACAATATTAGATAGATTAAACATACACTGTTGAGTATGAGAAAGATAATTTGAGAGTCAAGTCATGGCATTAAGTAATGATATAATATCATTAGGTTGGCCCACCTACAGACCACAAGAAAAACGTTCACCACAGTTATACAGTGAGCGCTCAATACAAAACCCACAGTTCAACCACCAATTAATGAGTCCTTATCTCAGTTCAAATCTCCTAGGAGTCCATCTTTCTATATCCCAGTAAGCAAACAGAAAAATGCTCAGTTTGAGGTTCAATTCAAAAGTTGGCCATGGAAAATAAAACCAAGTGACGCCTCACGTCTTTAACAGACAAGCTTAGTAATTCTCTCAGGAGCAAAAATGCCGTTTCACAGATATTTCCTGAGCTGACTGGTGACTGTGTGTGTGACGCAGGCGCCGATCGCCACAATACGCTTTCCTTACTACACGTGTCTTTCTGTTGTGCATTTTTCCTGTCGCCAAACCACCAATTTACCCTGTGGGTGGCGGGTGCTATTATACACCAACAAGTCAAGGTACAGCGTAACGTGCGAAGTTGATGCTTCCTCTGCAGACTGGTTTAGTTTAGCATGTCATGTGATCAGTGCGTAATCGCAGCCTTTGCGATTAGAAAATCTCATTTTATCATATCGCAATAATATTGCAAATGCAATTAATCGCACGTGACTGAATTGCAAATCAAATGAACAATGAAAAGTGTGCTTGATTCAAAAGAGATAATATTGAATGTGCACCATACAAGTTAAAATATCAATTCAGCATCTTAAAATAAAAATGACATTAACATTAAAAAATACAGCTTTACTCCCATTTCACTTCAGAACGTCAGTGAATAAATTTCATAGCATACAATTTAATTTTTCTGCATTAATTTGTTTTCCTGATAGCATTGTTTTCTTGGTGAACATAAGTGCAAATCAATTAAACAAACCAAAAAAATGTCCCCTCTTTTTCAACAACAAGTGAAGAAGCCAATAAGTTAAAAAGCGACAGACATATTCTCTTCTTCCATTTCTCCGTTAAACACTGCAACGTTAGACACATCAAAGCTGCATGGGGGGAATTTACTTTGGTCGGACTGCGCACCTGCTGGGTACTGTAGACTCTGAACTAAATGCTATCCAGATTGCTCATGTAAATGTGTGATAAAGTAATAACATATCTAATTCCTCTCCATATTAAAAAAGTTTCAGGTCCAAAGAATGCTATGGAATTACAGTAATTACTGTTACTGCACTGGATGCTGAAAGTTAAATATATAGCAAATATAATAAATATCATAAAATAATTTAGTTTAGGCTATGCCTTGGTGCCTAGACCTACCAACAAATGCCTTTTGTTAGAAGAAAACAAAACAGCCCACATTTCCTGAGACCAGTAGACCACTACAGACCTGTAGACCACTACAGACCTGTAGACCACTACAGACCTGTAGACCACTACAGACCTGTAGACCACTACTGACCTCAGAATCAGCTGCCAAGGGTCTCACTGCTTCTCTCTCTCTCTCCTAAAATATCTTACATATCAATCTTGCTTTCTTTCCATATCCATCTGGTCAATGAATTGAAGGATATACACTGGTAAAATAGCATCAACAGGGACACTATGACATCTAGTTTGAACAGTGAAAAGTGGCGTTCACTCTAGCAAAAATGTCTCAGCTTGCGCTAAGTGAGATGTCTGAAATTGTAATGCCTACAACCCAAGTCAATTCCGTCTGTTTCTGCCTTCAGACTCAACAATAAACATCATAGTGTTCAAAGGTCAGTGCTGTAGAACAAGCTCTTCCTCAGACGTCACGGAAAACGTGGCGTCCCAAGTAGGGTTTCACTTACCATTTTCTACTACTGTGGGATTGTGTGGTCAGTTCTCAAAAAAGTGACTCTAAAAAACACTGCATGCATAAATAAGCCAGACAAAGTACTTTGTTGTTAAGTAAGTCTGTTTTAGTTAGTTTACCTGCGCTTTTCATTTAGGTCTGGGCAATAAAACAATAATGATAATTATTCTGATATAATTTTCCTAATGAACAATATAACAAATGTTCAATAAATGCTTGATTTAATTCATATGAATCAGGATCAAACTTTATTTTTTGAGAAAGATATTTATTTTCTTCAGGGAAAGGGACTGAAAAAAAGATTTTACTTATTTTTTCTCATGCATATTTGTTGGAAAAAATTCAGATTTGTAAAGTGATCCCCTATTTGGTGTTTGTCATCTTCTGGCCTTAAAGAATAGTTTAAAACCATCAACTTCCGCGCAGGAGCAAAAATCAGCCTTTAAACTTGAAAGAAATAATGACTTGACATTTATCGTGATAATTATTGATTTAAATTTAGCCCTATTTTCATTTATAAAACAGGTAGCACAACTATGAAAAAATATAATCTAATCTTAAACAGTACATGTTTTTTAAATCTTACCTGACCGACTGTGAGAGCTCATTGTTATGGTTGCTGTTGCCGGGCAGACTTGACAGGGGAGGAGAGGTGAGCTCTGAGGGTGTCAGTGCACCTCCGTGGTGACTGTAGTGACCACCATGTGCTTCTCAGCCACGCTGGTGCTGCCAGGTGGAGGTGCCAGGCGAAGGAGGGACAGAGGGTAGCTGTTTCTTAAGGTTTCATCACACCGAGTCACAGCTGGAGACCTCAGTGGTGTGTTGTGGCAGGATTCCTTCCACCAAACAGTCAGGCTGTGAGGGGTAGACACAGAAAACACACAAGTTAACCTCCAAATTTAAAACAAACACACAAACAGGGCATATTCCAAATCAGGGGTCATCGTGGGCTGGTGTCCTCTAGACTTATTATTCCTCCCTGCAGTTATTGTGCCAAAGCTCATCTGTGTTTACCTGAGGCCATGTGGGGAACTTCAACAGGCTAGGGAAGAAGAAAAACCTGAAACCTGCCATCAAAGAAACCGATGACCCCGGTGTTTCATGATCATTTTGTCTCTATCTGTGACCCTAACTGCACATGCATAACCCTGCGCACGCTACCTAAAACAGGCTTCCCAATGATATTCAGTGAGTTGTGGGACATATTTCACCTGCTGTGTGTGTGTTTTATGTGCATGGTCAGCTGTGAGCTGGATTATGGCTGCCAAGGTGAGGCTGCCAGCCACAGAGGACACAAGTCACAGCCAACAACAGCAATTGAGAAAATAAATTGCAGTGAAACTTCTTGTTGTTACAAAGCAGAAATGACATTAAAACAACTCTCCTTTAAAACTCTGGGACATACATTATTAGTACTGAAAATATGTTGAAACACGTTACAAATATGAACCTTAATCAAAAACATTTGGTTTATTGTGGGTAAGAGAAACAATGTGGTGATGTAAAACAGCTCTGGCTTCCTCCAAGTAAGAGTTTAGAGTTGTCTCACATGTCTGTTTTTCATCAAATGAATATGGTTTCATTTGAACCATCTGGATTGTCTAAAATCACAGCATGTTTATGTAACTTAAAAGCACCAGCTAGCACTGCAAGTCACTGTCCGTGCTGTTAGCTAGCTATATGGCTAAAAGCAGTCAAATCCTGGCACATCAATACACACAAATAATACTTGACTTTGAACATTTTCCAGCTTCTAGTGACATTACTAAATCCTTACTTCATCAGCTTGCATGGTCAGCTGTGGAAGTCAGTAAAAAAGGCTCTTCCCTGTAGCAGAGCCTCAAATGAAATGCAAACAGAGGCTTCCTGCAGGCTTAGACTTACATCAGAGTCAATAGCAGAGGAGAAAGAGGAAGAAAACTTTTCATAGTGTGTGTGTGTGTGTGTGATGCAATCAAAACTGCAAGGAATATGTAAACACACACAGACATAGGGAGCCCTCCAGCAATTCAACACTAACAGGCAGAAGCCTAAACTCACCTCTGTCACGTCTAACAGGTGTCAACACAGCTGAAAACAAACAACTGGTAATTAGAGCTGCAATCAGTCACTAGAAATACCACAGAGGCCACAATAAAGTGTGTATGTGCTCCCTTCCTCTCTCTCAAAACAAAACAAAACACAGTCTCTTTGCTGTCACCGTTACTTTAAAGCTGTTGGACTGAATTACAGTCAAATGATGAGTTCAGTGGAAAGAAGGTGCAGACATGGCACAGTGAAATAAAATCTCATGGAAACACAGTACTGCCAGGATTCTCCAGGGTCGTACTTCACTTATCGGGAATTAGCGTAGAAGGAAAACAGTCCCTTAGGCCCAGGTCATTCACTAGCGTGGAATGTGAAGAAATCAAGACACTGTAGGAATACGAAGACACTCCAAGTTTTTAAATACACACACAAAAAAAAAAAAAAAAAGAGCTCCAGTGCTTGCCCTCGCCGTTTCAATGCAAAGACAATGAGGTGCAAATATAGACTGGCAGAGTTTGGGAAATGAAACATCCGTGTGCTGCTGTGACACTGCACTGTTCCTCAGCATTTCTCACTTTCTTCAGAATTTGTGCGCAGCACCTCACGGCGTCCTCCAGGCCACGGGCAGAATCACCAGAGGGGAGGTTTAGATGTTTGTGTGAATGTCTGACATGGGTGTTTATTTAATAGTCGCATGTGTGCAGACAATACTTTGATGGCCAGGAGGGATACTTTATGTCGATGGATTTGCTGAGGCATGAGGTGTCAAATAAAAAAGAAAAGGCGTCAGTGTGTTGGCTGGAAGGCAGCAGGGCCATTCTCAGATTCAAACGCCTATTTTTTTCAAAGGAGACGCCTGTCACATAAGAATTCAGACGGTGCTTACACAGCTTGCCATACTATGTCAGCAATGATCTTAGGCATTTGGTCCTCACACTTTTTCGCCACACACACACAGACAAACAGCTAGTGCAGCTCAAGGGGAAGACAAATCTGGTCCTTTTCTGACGCCATGAAGCTGCAGTTTGTGGCACTGGTCTGTCAGCTGAGCAGGTCTTAATGTTCCTTCCATGTGAGTTCACTTTTTCTGCAATTTTAACTGTTCTTCAGGGACCCTATTAAAAATGAATCTTTGTACAACACTGCAGGTATTTTTTACTGCACTGTAGAACCATAAAATACACCACCTGCACCTCTTCATGCTTCTCATTTCCGCCCAGTGACACTTAAGATTGGATGAGATTTATTGTTCTCGTGCAGCACAGTTAGAACTTGGAAACGTTTCATAGCGCTTGACAGGAAAACAGCTCTCAGGACCCCTTAATGGACTTCATTTCCCAAGCACTCTGAGCGCTGCCGGGAGTAATCACGATGGCATAAAAATAACATGTGGTCGGGTAGCGAGCAGTAAACAACAATTAAGAAACCCCTTGCATAGCTCATGAAATAAATCATTGAAAATGCACTTGTGCCATGAAGACAGCTTCAGACTCTCAGCCCTAATTGACTATGAATTATTAAGCTGGCGAGTGGGATTAGTAGCACCGCCAGTATGCTATTGATTGACATGTTCCAGATTTTTCTTTGTTGGTTGAAAAATAGTCTTTCTGTTGGCAGGCCAGGGTTAGAATATGGCTATATGTCTAGACGCTGGTTCCATTGAGGGCATGAGTGTGTCACACTGAACCAGTCCTCCTTCAAATGGAGAGAGGCTTAAAGTCAGGGTGACACAGGTGACATGAGTGTAAGTGTGAAAGTAGGAGAAGACAAAGCGACACCCTAGCCGGCATAAAAGGATGCGGTAACACCAGACACTCTGCTGCTCGGTCATGTTTGCAAGAGAACAAGGCCAGCTATGACCGCAGGACATCACATCAATCAGCTGTTGGCTGAACAGAGACAAGACGAGGAGCACAGGCATCAAATCGCACAGGAGGATAATTTTTCTTGATTCGGAGCCCTGACAGCCTGGGCACAGTTAGAGCATGGCCTGTAACACACCATCCTCCACCTGTAGGCCTGACTCTAGTCTCTGGAGGAAGATCTCTGCCATCATCACTCCCCAGTCTCTCTTAAATTATTGATAAGCTGCCTGAATGAACAGAACAGAGTGGAAAGCGAATGCTCGACTCTAAGTATTTAACATGGTGATGATGAGAGGGCTGGCACCAAAATCGTGTGACTATGCTTGAGACCTGTCACTTAAGTCGGGCACAAACGGCAATGAAGTCATTCAATACATCATTTTAAAATACATTCGCAATACAGGGCTCTGCTGAATGCTTGTTCAGCATTTTAAAGCTTTGCAACAATTCATCACTGAACATGGAGGGAAGGTGGTTGTTTCTGAATAAAAGACTATTATAACCAGGCTGAATGTAAAATCCACCTCATCTGAAGAAGTTACTGGCAGCAGACAGGCTGAAATGTATTACCTACATACAGGGTCTTGATTTAGCAACTGCAGCACTCATATTATGTACTACCTTCCCCGTGTGAACTGTAGCTGTTGCTGCCATGGCTAACCTCAGCTTGACAACTTCCCCTCACACTGATGACATTCACCAGCTTCTATTAAACGGCATATGTCTGCATTTTATCTCTCAGAGAGAGATTAACAATGCTGTTCTATGAAAGTGAAGCAGCTAGAAATGACACAGTGCTGTCTCAAACCCAAACTGCCTAAACTCTAAAGTTTTACTTGGGGAAAAAATTTGTCATGTTTCCCGTGTGTGCGTGTGCGTGCAATGAAGCACTTGGACCGTCCCTATCATGGTGAAAATGTTTTTACATGGCATGACATTAGACATTTGTGTGTTTGACATATCACGTTTGCCCTTCTTCACTGCTTCTGTAGTATTTAAGCAATCTTCTTGTAGTTTCAACTACTGCCTCACAGTAATAAAAAGGAACCATGGTATTACACACTCAAGTCTTTATGTTAACGGACAATCAAACACCCATGTGTTGTTACCCTGGCAACAAAAGGTCAAGTCAAATGAAAAGCAGGAAGTAGCATCTTTCCATGCATAGTGCCAAGCCCTGCGAATGACAAGAGCCCACTCAACTTCCCTCCCTTTATTACGCACATTCTTTCATGTCACTCTCACTCACCCATGTATTGTTCTATCTTTATATTTGCATCGCTCATCTATGTTATTTATCATCCAGCTCATCCTTTAGTAAACAGCACTCATTTTTGGATGTAACAGAGTTTTCTATGACCACAGTGTAGGTCAATGTGTGCAGCTGCTTTCACATGATCAGACCAACGACTAAACTAATTTATTACGGAAGGAGCTCTGACGCCAAACCCGAAGGAACACTATGATTTTACACTAAACTGCTCAAGAGAAACACAGAGGTCAAAAATTTCAAACTTTGACCGAGACCACTTGGTTCCTCCCATCTAGACTCAACGACTAACCGGAAGATGAAAATAGGCTTGATTTTTGCTGTGTATAAGCTTCTTTAGAATGAGATGTTTGTAGGCAACCTTTGCTTTGTGGCTTTGGATCCAGTTTTGTGGACAGGCAGTGGTGGGAATTGAAAAGCAACAAAATTCATTAAACAGAAGGGGGAATCAAAATGTGATGCATTATGGCCCGATGACCAGATGGATTAGTGACAACAGCAACTCTAGTGTCAACTCCTGCTGGCAATTTATTTCTGAGAGATGTATAAATGGCTATTTCATCTATCAATTTAATTTTAAAGCTAGGGCTGAACAATAAATCGAAATATTAACTGAAAATTGTGCAATATCCAAATCACAGACACTGCAATTTTTCTCATAAAAAAGAACAAATGTGTCACAACATACCATC